GAACCCATCGCCCGCCAAGGGGGCCAGGAGATGGGACGGATCGGCTAATCCGGACGAATGTATCAAAAGGTCCCGGTGTTGGCGCGCCCAATTTGCGAGCATGCAGCAAGAGGCGACGCACAGGCAGACCACCGGAGGAGGGGCGCGCATAATGAAACGACCGATCGCGCCGCAGGAATCAGCAACACCCGACAGTCGACCATACTGCAGCTCTCCAGAGCCCCGGCCGGGGCCATGAGGAACCCATTTTGAGAGACGACGGGGCGGGGCGAAGGGGGGGGGGGAGGGCGGGGGGGGGCTGTCCATTGTCCATTGTGTTGAGCCAGGGACACGGGGCGCTGTTTTCTGTTTGAGGTGGCTGCTGACGCTGGCACCCCCCCCCTCGTCCCCGGCCTCGGCGTCGCCCAGCGCCCCGTGCCCCGTGCCCCGCGCCCCGCGCACGACCAAAAGAAAAAGAAAACACACGCCCCGACCGTGGGGTGTCAGTTCGGGGGGAGGGCTAGACGCCACGCCCGCCTGACGCACTGAGCCCCAGCTCTTCGGTTTGCTCCTCTGCCCCCCCCCCCCCCCCCCCCCCCCCCCGGCCTCCGCCGCCCCCAGGCGGGGCCCATTGCCGCGAGGTGGGCTACGCAACCCCTGAGAACTGCCCACGGAACGCACTGACCACTCTAGGCAACCGGCTTGAAGTGGCGCTGACACCATTCCATTGTTGTGTGACCATGTGACGCTCGCGCCCGGCAGGACCACCCACCACGAGAGGGGGAAGGAGCGCCGAGCCGGGTCCTCTTGCCGAGAGGAGAGGGAGAGAGAGAGAGAGAGAGAGAGAGAGAACGCGTGCAGGATACAGGAGGAAGAAGAAAACACGACACGCGGCGGACATGAGCACAGGCGCGCACAAGAGGCAGAAGGAGCGAGGGGCCGGCACACACGAACACCACTGCGCTCAGGGCGAGTAGCACCCTCCGGCGAGGAGAACATTGCGATATGTGAACTTCAGGCTGTGAATGGGCGTGGACTTGGTGGGGAAGCTGCCCAGCAGAGAGCTGCCACTCTCCTGGGCGAACTTGCCACCCATGCTCGACCCTCCACTATGCGTTGTTGTTGTTCGCGGGGGCGTGCGTGCGTGCGTGCGCGCGCGCGAAGAAGAAGAAGAAGGGAGGGGGACAGGTTGGGTGAGAAGAGGAAGACTACGCGGGCCATGGGGCAGGGGGGCACCACAAGATGCCGCCTCCCATGGAGTTGGGACGAAAGGAGGCCCGGACAGGAGGTGAACAGGGCAACGTACCCGAGGCCGGTCTCGCCCATGCCGCTGGCATCCTGCGGGTTCCAGAGGCCCACTGCCGGAGTGACGGAGGCCCAATTATCCGCCACCAGGTAGAGGGGCACGAACCAGAAAGACGGGAAAAGAGACAGACAGACATACACACACACACACACGCACACGCACGCACGGTCAGAGAGCAGAAAAGCACAGCACACCAAGAAGGAGCAGGGACCAAAGAACAGGACCCCCCGCCCCCCCCCTCCCCCGAGCATGCATGCATCCACGCACCCACACCATCCACCGACCCCGACGCCAGCATCGTCCCGTCCGTGGTGTAGTCCAGCGCGCTGATGGTCCGGGCATGCGGCCCGCGGAAGGTCTTCATGCAATTGCCCGAGGCCAGATCCCACACGCACACCGTGCCATCGGTGGCGCCGGACGAAAGCATCCGCCCGCAGGGGGAGAAGGCCAGGGACTGGATGCCGGCCGAGTGGCCGCCTCCGGCGAAAAGGCGCGCCGTCTTGCCGGACGCCACCTCGAACAGCCGGACCGTGCGGTCGGAAGACCCGGTGGCCAGGTACGCCGCATTCGGGTGGAACTTCACCACATTCACGCTGGACTCGTGGCCGGCATACAGGCGCACGGCCGAGATCGATTCGCAGGACCACAAGCGCGCGGTCTTATCACGCGAGCCAGACGCGAAGTACTGTGCCCCGTAGGGGGTCGGTGCGAAGGCCACCGACCAGACCGGCCACATGTGTCCCTTGAAAGCCACCAGGTTGGACCAGGTCACCGTAGACCAAAGCCGGACTGAAGGGGGGAGGGAGGGGAATGCGGAGGTCAATGAGAGGGGGCACATGCAGGAGAGGGAGAGAGAGGGAGAGAGAGAAGGAGAGAGAGGGAGAGAGAGGGAGAGGGAGGGAGAGAGAGAAGGAGACAGGGGGAGAGGAAGAGAGACAGAGAGAGAGACAGAGAGAGAGAGAGAGAGAGAGAGAGACATGAAATAGCGGCAGGCAGTTCGCACTTGTGCTATCCTCCGACGCCGACAGCAGAAGCGAGGAGTCTGCACTGAAGGAGGTAGAAAAGACCGAGCCCGAGTGCCCGACCAGGCGCTGGTCCGCTCGGCCCAGGTCCTCCATGTAAGGCCCGAGATTGGAGATCTTCTGGTCGGCGCCTATCGACTCGATCTCGGTGCCGCTCTTGAGCCGGCGAATGTTCTCCTGTGATGAAGCACGCGCCCGCAAGGGCCAGACGGGGGGGGGGGTCAGATGCGAGGGGAAAAGAGAGAGCCACACAAAGAGGAGGGAGGAAGCACGGTCGCGAGCACGCACCCCCTTCAGGTTGTACACCTGGATGTAGGAGTCGCTGAAGCCGGCAGCCATGAAGGTCGAATCGCTCGAGAAGGACAGCGAGCATAGGCTAGCCGGGGGGGGGGG